CGATGAGCTCGCCGACATCCCTGCCGAGATGAGGGAGGTTGTTGCCGCTGAGATCGCGGCTTTCAGAGAGCGCAGCAACAAACGAGACATGGAACGGCTGAAGCGTGAAGAAGAGATGGAGGAGATGGAGCGGAAGCGCAATGGTCCGTCTCGGCCCTCACGACACGACTCTCCGCCGCCGTCCAACTCCAACAACATTCCTGTCGGTCCCCGTGGCATGCACAATGCGCCATCCGGGCCCAGAGGGCAGAACGGCAACCGCACCACGTCCTTTGTAAATGGAGGCATCTCCAACGCTGATCTCTCGATCAACCGTGAAGACGAGGAGACAGACGCCGACGATGAAGAGCTCTACCAACGGGAGCTTTCGAAGCAGAAGTCCGAGGAGGACAAGATGTATCTCGAGGCAGAGCGAAAATGGGTCAACAGGGAACGTTCTCGGGCGGCGGCCTTGGAACGCGAGAAAGAGCGTGAGCTTCAGGAAGAAGAAAGCCTAGAGAGACGCGTTCAGGAGCAGCTGGAGAGAGAGAGAGCCTGGGATGACGAACGAGAAGCTTCGAGGAAGAGCCACTTGTACTACCGCGATCACGCGGCCTGGGTTAAGAAGCGGCAAATCGAACGGGCCGACGAACAGGCCAGAGACGAAGCCGACCGAAGAGCCGAGGAAGACGAACGACGCCGAGAGGCGGCGGACATGGAGAGGGCGCGCGGCATGGCCGACTCCTTCCTGGACCAGCAGGCCCAGGAAATGGAGCAACGGCAACAGGCAGCGACCTCCGCACCCGCACCGTTCAAGCTGTCACTTGGAGCTGCTGCCCAACGCGCTCAGGCGCAGCGTGTGGCACCTCAACGACGAACTGTCGCCGAGGTGGAGGGTCTCCTAGATGATGAGGAGCAGGACAGCACAACTAGGAGACAGCTCATTCCCATCCAGTTTGAGCCTACGACTGCTGCAGACAAGATGACCGAGGAGGAGATCAGCAAGGCTGTCCGTGCCCTTGCGCAAGAGATCCCGTCCGAAAAAGATGGTCTGTGGAACTGGAGCGTGCAATGGGACTACCTGGACGAAACCATTATACGCGACAAGCTTCGGCCATTTGTGGAAAAGAAGATTGTTGAGTACCTCGGAGTCCAAGAAGAAATGCTGGTCGAGGTGGTCGAAGAGCACCTTCGGAAGCACGGCAAGCCGTCGGAACTGGTCGAGGAACTTGCTGCGGTTCGTACATTGAGCACCCAGTACCATGGAACTACTACTGACCTGTTTCATAGGCCCTGGATGATGAGGCGGAGGATATGGTTAAGAAGTTGTGGCGCATGGTCATCTTCTTCACTGAGAGTGAGAAGAGAGGGTATCCGGCGTAGTCTAGGCATCCGTTTTTGTATTATATCGACATTTCGGCAGCAGCATGCAAAAGAACCGGCTCTGCCCTTTGCTGGGGCGGCGGAAGACTTTCCCTATCGGACAACTGTTTTGATCGGCACCTATAGGGAAGAAAAGTGAGCGAGGCTTTCCACAGCCATTCCCCCGAGTTTGTGAAGACCAGGGAAACTCACTTTACTCACCAGAACACACCCGACGTGCTTCATCAACTGTGAGATTCGGCACAGCACTTTGCTTCTGCCAAGCTAAACCACCGGGGAGGGGGGCTTCCTAAGCTACGCATGTACGTGCTGTTCGTTGTTGGACTGTTGATTTATATCTAGGCTTCCCGTCACCTTTTTCACTTGCACCCTCCCCTGCGAAACTGATTTGTATCTCACTCCTCCACAAGGGGTCGAAGTCGCGTCCTAGAGACAACGCGGTGCCACAGTTTAGTTGCCGAGTGGTCAGTATGCTATCCCCGGCTCCATACCTTCCCACCTATCGACTTAACCCGCAGCCCAACGCCTAAGGCGAAGGTGGCAGTGGCATCAATTGTTGAAGTTACTAGAGGATCCAAGCATTGTGCGTAGATTGGGCAGTAGTGCTTGTGCTACGGACCGCCCACGATGCCGGGAATCATTCCATGGGTTCCAGTATGATCAGCTACGCGTTACAGACCACAGGGCTGTATTCCGAAATTCTCAAGATAGCCTGCGCGTGACAACCGAAAGCGCTTTCGCTAGCAACTTTAATCGCTCGCTCCACTGACGGGTGGGCCATTTCGCTCAGAGTGATTTTGTCACAGAGCCAGTCTCATCAAAACCATGCCAGTAACGACCCAACAAGGACCTTGCTGAATTGAGGCATCTGGCTGAGCCTAGCTTATGAAGCCGGAACGGCAGAGCTGTCTGTCTGTCATGGCTGCTCTGGACGTAAATCAAGAATCCCGCAGGTGGCGGCGGCAAGCCGTGCCCGGTGGTGACGAATAAAGCTCCGAGTGATACGGGCGATCCGGGCGTAGGGAGTGGATCACTCGAGGGGCTCAACAACGGCACTCAATGGGCTCGTATCGCACATACTAGTAAGCACCTTTGGGCGGGTCTGCAGCCTGTGCTGCCATTGGTGTTGGCTACAAGTTGTGATCAGCGTGGTGTTCATCTGAAGCATGGTGTGACCGACCAATATGCTTGCAGCATTTTAATAGATGCTCTTAAACTTCGTTCCAGGTTCCGACTTCCGTGCTTGACGAGAATATTGCGGCTGTTCTTCAATCTCAACAGCCGCGACCACTACTCTTTGCCGCCTTACAACCGGCGGCTTTCTTCTGAGAGTCGACGAGCCGCTCTCCTTTCTTCATTACACCTTAACCCCACTCCTCAACTCCTTTGCGACAGTCGAAATGCTTAATGCGAGCAATCTTCTGCGCCAGGGTGACCCATTTCCATCATGCCATTCTCCACCGGACGACCCTTTATTGGGATGATCCCACTTCCACATGCACTGCGGTCACCTTGCAGTGTTTCCTCCAGAAAGCCGGGAACTCCGTTATAAGAGGACCATCAATGCTACCCTTCCACGGTTACTGCCGATGACGCCCCCTGGCCCCCCAAAAAGTAGCCGAGTAACTTGAACTGTAAACTTCGATCCAATCTACTACGGTTTGATTGGGAAGTTGGGCTGCCGGCGGTTCCGTATTTCCGCCCATTGCGCGCGACGTCAGCCCCAAGAAACTCCAAGGCCCCTGAATAGCTTGCTGACCCCACTTGCCTGATTGTTAGCAAGCGGGATACGAGGTTATTGCGCCAAGAAGCCCTGCTCCTTCACACTAGTCCAGCTGCCTCGTCCGTGATGGATGGGAACCGAATTTTTCATGGTCAGCTTACTAGTTTTGGGTCTGTCCAATGTACCGCGCAGACTGTGCAGTTTAACGAGGCCCGGCCTCCCCCTCCCCCATTGCTGCACTGGCATTTATTAGAGGAACATCCTAAGCCCGCTATCCTCAAGAAGCCAAGGAGGCGTCCCGTGACCAACCATCCCTCTTCCTGGCCTCGTGAAGTGTCTTTCTCTCAACCATGCCGTGCTTTTCGTCTGGAACCTCCGCGTCGAGAAATTAAGTTGCCGACAAGGCACCCATACTGTGTATTAGTGTCTTGGAGCAGCCCAAGCCACAGCCGCCTGCCAGCGGAATATTTGCTCTTCCGCCAAGCTTAAATATGTTCTCCTCACCAAAACGTGCAGTTGCGTTGGCGTGTGCCATCTTTGTCTGTGTGCTTCTGACCGGCTACCAGTCAAGCAAGCAAAAGTATGTGGCGAAGCCTCTCCGGGTTGGAGGGTCCTTTAGGAATGGAACGATCGGGGTGTCCTCTTCGGCGGCATCGTCTCTCAATACACAAATACCCTTCTGGACCACGGAGCAGCGCGAGCCCCGATTTGCCTACGTGCAGTATGCGACTGACATGGACTATTTGTGCAATGCGGTAAGCTGTAGCCTTCTCACACAACGACCACGGGTGTTAGCTCTTGACAGACATCATGGCTAACACGCTGACATTAGGTCATCAACTTCCATCGTCTTTCATTGTTTGGTTCCAGGCACGATCAAGTCCTGATTATCCCAGACAAGTGGATGGAAGGAAACACAAGAGAAGCCGAAGCCATCAAGAAGATCAGGCACGAGCTTCCTCGCCTCGTTCTTCGACCCTTCGTCCTTCTTGCTACCCACAAAGGCAGTGCGACATGGGCCAAGAGCCTCACCAAGCTCCACGCCTTTGACTTAACCGACTACACGCGCGTTTTGGCCTTCGACTCTGACTCGCAAGTTCTCAATAGTATGGACCATTACTTCCTTGCCCCGATGGCCGCCGTTGCTGTACCACGAGCCTATTGGCTGAACGAGAAAGACACACCTATCGCTGAGCAGGTTCTCAGCTCCCACGTCATGCTTATAGAGCCAAGTAGGAAACGATACAAGAAGATTGTCAAGGAGGCGATGAGATCAGGCGACGTTGACATGGAGGTTATGAACCACATGTTCAAGGACTCGGCCATGATCCTACCTCATCGACGACTTGCGCTTCTGACAGGGGAATTCCGCCGCAAAGACCACAAGAAGTACCTTGCACCGGATGATGATGAGGATTGGAACGCCATGAAGGAGGTCTTGAGGTCCTACCTGGTTCACTTCAGCGACTGGCCGCTGCCGAAGCCGTGGAAGCCGCACACAGATGACCAGTGGCAGGCCGCCCTGCCCGACTGTCCGGAGGAGGAAGAGGACAAGCCTGACCGCCCGAGGTGTGCTGACCGAACAGTTTGGTCAACCATCTACAGTGATTTCAAGGATGATAGGAAGAAGTACTGCAGGACCTGGGTATAGTGTCATTTCAACGGGCAATAAAAGAAAAGCATGAATCAAATCAGCACGTTCTACGTCAAATACTTTCCGAATGATGGTCTCTCGAACGCCTGTTCCGGCTCCAGACATAGGACCCTCTAAATTACTCGATGAGTATTAATGTTCCTACCTCAATGCACGGTATGGTCCTCTCCACTCATGTGAAGTTTAATGTGGCAAGCCAGTTGTGAAGGTGGAAGGTGTGATCACCAGGTTCTCACACCAGTGATTAAGGCACGTTGTCAAGGTGGTCCCTCTTAAGGTGGCACACGTACAAAACCATGGTCTTTAACTATGCCAAAGACACAAAGTAAGTATCGTACCAAATAATTAATACAGTATCCCTTTGAGTGCCAGGTGACCCCACTAACCCCTTGGTGGATCCCCCTCCACTTTTACCCCTCACTTTTGGACATACATGATAATACATTGTTTTAGAATGTTATTTTGCTAGTAACTACTACTAATTTTAATATTATTACTAATATTATTATTAAAATCATAATGTCTTCTGATTTAGATACCTTTATTTATAGCACTATCTATGTAGAGGTCTTGCTGGAGGACCTTGCTGTTGCCTGCCTGGATAACTGTTGCCTGGAGCGGTGTAATAACGCAATAGTCTGGCCTAATAAGCCTCTGGACCTAGGCCCTCTAGGCTCCTTTATCCTTTTCAAAGTGCTAAATTAGTAGCCTAAGGTCTATAGGCTTTCTAATATTAATACCCTAATTAATCTTTTTCTTTATTATAACTTAGATATAAGGCTTATAAGAAGATATAACCCTAACCCTAACCCTAACCCTTATTATAGTATAACTATAAGGGATATAAAAATATATATATATAAGGATATAATAGTTGCCTATATAGAGATATACTCTATATATAACCTAATAGACCTATATAGACCTATTAAGAGTTACTCTCTTAGAAGTGCCTTGCCTCTAAGAGTATTAACGCATTAATAAGGTCAACAAGGTCAAGGTCAAGGCAACGATACGATACAGCCTAGGGTACTTTAAACAAGGTTACCTAACTTAGGCAAAACAAGTGAAACCGGATCCGGCGAATCTGTAACAAGCCAAAGGTTTTAGAACCACTAATAACTATATAACTATAACTATTATAAAGGGTTAATATATATATAATATAGGGTTAATATATACTATTATAGAAGGATCTAGTAAGTGTTATTTATTATATATAGAAGAGAAGAAACCACTAGAAGTAGTTTTATTCTCTAAGTCTTCTAACAACAATAAAT